TTTTTAAGAAAAAATGGTATGTAGTGCTAACTTGACACCATACACCTAGTCGATAGAATTGAGATATTGAAAATGTTATAACGGCATTAATTGTAGCTTTTAGTTTTAAAATTTGTTGTGGAAAGAAAAAATTTGTAGCTCTCGTTTTTTAAGAAAAAATGGTATGTAGTGCTAACTTGACACCATACACCTAGTCGATAGAATTGAGATATCCAATATGTTACTATGCCATTAATTGTAGCTTTTAACTTTAAAATTTGTTGTGGAAAGAAAAAATTTGTAGCTTTCGTGGTTTAAGAGAAAATGGTATGTAGCGCTAACTTCCATTGTCGATGGAATTGAGATATCGAGAAAGTTACTACGTAGCGCTTGAAATGATATTTAATAAAAGTAGGAAATAATAGATTTCGATGGGTATAAAATTTTTTTAATTTTATTTATATAATTACATAAATTAAAAGACTTAGCAATATTTTGTGCGTTGACTTCGTAGCTATCTCTCTGTCGTTTAGGTCATCGTATATAATAAACTTTCCTCTTCGGAAGGCGATGCCGATGTAGTGGCCCAAGCTGGTTGAGCATCGCGATCCAGTATTGTTTAGACCCTTAAAGCCGACGCATCCAACCAGTTTAAAAGTTTCCTCGCCAGCACGCAAACATTTCGGGATCTTGTCGAGCTGTACAGGCCCAGAGATTTGAGCTGGTTCAAATGCTATAACACGATCTGAAAGAGAAAAAGTGTGTAAAGAAAATAATAATTGACAAAATAATTACGTTTTCTTGATATTTTGATTATGCATATTTAGACCTCCCTAATGTGTATGCTTAAAAAAAGATAGCAGACCATTACTTAAAAATTCTATGGGAAATTGATGATATTTAAAAAATGTTAACCTATATGTAGCAGCTTCCATTGCTCTGTTTTTCTATTTCTGCATGCAGGACAAATTCTTGGATCCACTTCAATGATGCGTTGCAGGGCTAAATCTTCGAAATTACTATCCAGCAGAAGCTCATCTGTGAGGAATGGCACGATTTTTTCGACATTTTCACCACAACATTCTGATTGTTTGATTAAAGTTGGTTGCCGTGCAAATAAATTTTCATAAAGCGTGGCGATGTTGGTTGCCGCATCAATATATTGCATCGTATTGCTCTTTTTGATAATTGGTATTGTGCTCATAATAGCTTCAGCCCTCATTACATAGGTTTTTGGTGTAATTTTTAAAGAGCCCATAGTGTAATCGATGACATTGAATAGTAAGTTATCTTGTCTTTTATCCTTGATGTAATCTTTTATGTGTGCGTTGTCCACAGCGGCAGCGAGTAAAATTTGAAATAGACTATCAAAAGCACAGGTGTTAGATACTGTGATTTTGCTATTCCCTATTTTAGTAAACTCTAATCCCATTGAGGAGCCGTTTTTTAAAATTGGTATTTTCTTGAAAGTCTCGAAAGTTAAACTGTCTTTGACAGCACTTTTATTCCTGCCTAAATATTTTCCGGGCTTAGAGACTTTTTCTATTCCTTCCCCTCTCCAATTTTCACAGGACTTTAAAGCCAGTCTTGCCCCTTTGTGGTTATCATGCGAACAATTCTTGCACATTCTTTTTTGGCTATAGTTTCCTTCCTCGTTGATCGCTTTGGAGCATTTTCTATGTACTACGTTACTGCATAAAACGCACGGATATCCCGATCCTGGTAAACAAATCGTTTTGCAAATTTCGCATTCTTCGTCTTCATTAAGTGTACTCTGTGTAATTTGATTTTCCCCTTCGGACATAGATGCTACTATAAATGGATCTTCATTTTGAATTAAGTCCATCTTCCCAGAATTATACGTATCTTCTAATATTTGCGTTTCAGACACAGTTTCGTTTATGGTGATATCACTTTGGTCTCCTTTTGAATGTTTTAAATTTTTATCATCTTTTTTCGTTTCCTCCATTTCCAAAATGACCAAGCGGCCTTTGTCTTGCTCAATTAACTTTTCGACTATTACATCGAGCCGCATTATTTGTTTTTGCAGAATGTGCGTTTTAACTAAATTCATTTCGCTCTCTATATGAGCACTGGAAGCAGGGACTCTTCCATGGCCGAAAGAATCCCTGCAGATATTTGTCCATAAAGGTAAAGTTTCAACTTTCTTCAATAGCTGTGTTGCGATTTTTGGACATACTCGTGGGTTGTCTTTATTTCCCTCTTCGGAATTCAGTACAGAAAATACGTCGTTTTGAATGGTTAAGCCCCAATCGCGCCAACTGAATCCAATGCTTGATTCTAATTCGTTGTTTTCATTGATTTCTTCATCGTTTTCGGTTTCATCATAAAAGTCTATAGATGGCTCTTTATCGTTTATATCATTGTCTAATGCGATGTCTGTCGTGACTAAAATATTATGAATGAGATTTTTTATTTCAATAAAATTTGGAGTCTCTTCAGTCGCAAGCTGGGTGATCAAAAGCTCTGCGTTATTCATTGTTATTGTGGCGTTACCAATTGTTTCACAAGAGCATATAAGTAGTATAGATTTTATAATGGCTCGGGCAATTTTCAAATCTGTGGTTATAATCAATGTTCCAATCGCTATAAGGTAAAATTCTTTAATTCTAGGCCTCACGACTTTCTTCAAGAAACGTGCCCACATATTCATGACATGAGCACAATCATTACGAATGTAACAGGCTGGCATTTTATTAATTTGAGGGTTGCAAGCATTTGCATATTCTTCAACAGTCAAAAAAGGTGTAAATGCAGACGTTATTGCGTTCATAAGAGCTCGAGATTCGTCGCATACCTAAAATAGTTGAGGGAGTTGTATTTAGAAAATTATTGCACATTTGTTATGTGAGTATGGTAATAGCCATATTTAGAAATGTCTTATCCTGATCAAGAAATACAAAACTGGTCAAAATGTTGAGGTACCATTTTTTTACCGGCACGGTAATTTCTTTTACAATACATATCAGTTTTGCATGTACATACATACAAGTATGTAAGTATGTGTAGTATATTTCAAATTTGATTTTGTTGTTTAGTTACCACTTCAGCTGGATATTTCGCTCCAGATTTTAACCATTTCTTTAACCACGTTCCAATCGATACTGCATCTTGACATTCGGTGATTTGTCGTGATATTGGAAGGGAATACCTCTTGCACTTCAAACTTAATGTGTATAAAAATAAGTGATGTGATTTCTCTCCGTCTACGTGGACAATTTTTGATGCCACTTTTCCAGTCGCATCAATGCTTATAAATGCGCCTTCTTCAGCAACTTTGGCATTGTAAAGTCTAGTTTGATGGCTGGACCAAAATTGTACGAAAACGGGATCGTATCCGATGTCTTTAATTACATTTTGACCAAGTGTGGTTTTCCGTTTCATTAAAGACAATGATTTTCTTGGGTCAGGATCTAAGAAACGAGCTTTTCTATATTCATATTTGGCATTTCTCAACACGTTTCGACTATATAAGAAGCCTAATTCCTCGTCTCCTTTTTCAGTATCCTCAACAGCTTTCCTATTTCGATATTCGAAGACAGAAGTTTTCTGCAGTTCCTCTGCTATTTTTTGGCGGTTTTCGCTACGAAGTTGTCTCTTCCCGCATTTTTCATTACCCTCTTCTAAGGTGCAAATAATTTTAACGAATCTTTCGTGTTCAAGAGCAGAAATTGTACACTGCAAAACGCCTCCGCAAGAGCAGTATCCTATGTATTAAGAATTATTAAACAAAAAATTATGAAAATATTGAACGAGGTAAGCATGCAAATAATATCCTTTAATTTTTTACGTTTTTATTGAACTATTTAATATATACATAGATTGCCATTGGCAATTTAAATGATTATTTAAATTTCCTTTCTAACCTGTTAATTGTTATTTAAGTGTATTTAGAAATAATCAAAAAACACACGTGATTATTTGCCATAAAAAAAAAA